ACATGCAATTTCCTCCCCGACTTTGAACCCCGTAACTGTCCTATTAATTGATAGTCGATATCGTTAAATTTCAACTATATTTTTATCTACGTGCGTGTGTAGATAGCTATTATACCTGTTATTAAAGACTTTTCAGAAACCTTTAATTATCCCAATAGTAGCTCAAACTACGAGTACTTAGTTTATACTGATAATCCGGATTATTGCTAATATTATCCCAAACTACATCGAATTTAAAAAAACTGATTTACTTTACGATTTTGACCAAAATCGCGTAATGTATTTTAATGCCAGATTGTACAGGTGAATGCTTCTCCAGAGAAGGGTCTTAATTGGGTTTGGAAATCTAACCAGTTGGATTTAAACTTTTACAAAGTTGCTTTATAATTATAAATGTTTCATATTTTACCACAATAATGGTAGGTTACACCGCGAAACCTGCGCAAGCTACGCTGACGCCATCTGAACGAGGGTATGGCCCTCCGACGGGCCCTGGAGTCGATCTAAATAACACGGAGCCTTTGTATGTCGACACTAATGCCGAAGCAGTACCGTGAGTATATTTTTTATAACACTTCTAAAAACTATTTCAAGTGGCAGACAGAATCTAAAGCTAAGATTATATAATACGAAGTTTTACTTAGAGTAAACAAATTGGCACGTTAAGCAAGTTTTTCGTATTTAGAAAACGTACTTTGTCCAAGCTTACATATCATACAAGAAATTAAATTAATTTTGAGTTTACTTCATAACATAAGTTTGTTTTGTAAATACGAAAAACTTGCTTAGTTCACTATTTTTTGCTAAGCCGATGTTAAAGTTTGTTTTATAAATCTCATACTAATATTCCCTTGCACTAAACTTAAGTACATCTTAAACCAATGTTTAAATTGATAAGACACGCTTAACACAATATTTTAAGAGTGTCTTTTGCATAGCAAGCATTGAAATGCATTTTAAGACATACTTAAGTTTAGTACAAGTGGACATTAGTGTGTTTAGTCACGTTTTGACACAAGTATGGACTTTATATTGTACCATATAAAGTATATATAGTAACTTACATTTTCTAACTTTTCGAATCTGTCAAGTTAGTGTAAAAAGGCACCGCCATTAAAGAAAAAGGAGTGCTAAACTAAAAATATGATGCCCAGAAAATTTCACCTAATGTGTTCGACTCAACGAGTCATAGCTTATCTAGCAAGTTAAAAAAAAAATTCTTGTCTGTTTGTTATCACGGTACAATACTGACTCAGATGAAGTGCTTTTTCATTAAATCTACGATAAATGATAACTGAATTCCGATTACGTATTGCGTCCTTGGTAATTGTCCGTTTGTTTTACATAGCAGTTTTAGTTCCTCTATGATTATGAGTGTGTTATTGTATCTAAGTATATTGTTTATTTCAGATACCGAGCAATGTACAAGTACCGACCGCAGAACCCGGACGAGCTAGAACTTAACGAGGGTGACACAGTATATGTACTAGAGCAGTGCGACGACGGATGGTACGTCGGGTCCAGTCAGCGTACGGGTCGCTTTGGCACCTTCCCAGGTATGCAGACGTTTAATTCTAGCTCCTAATGGCCCTAAATTAAATGTAACCTATTGTTAAATATCTTTGTTTTGTAGTTTGTAAAGGTGCAAACAGAACACAATGTACTACCATTTGCAGGAGGGCTTTTTGCTCGTATAAATATAATGTAATAAGTAGTGTAACTCCATACAAACGTAGCAGCGCGGTTTGTATGTATGTACGTATAATCTCGCGGTGAATTCGTGTTGCACAGCGCGGGTGACACGCGTCATTCATTACAGAATTATAGCGCTGTTTTAAAATGTTTAAATAATTTTCTGTATCAAATTATATTTGTTTTTGTTTATCAATGTATCGTTACGTATACACAAACTGGTATTTCATTTCCATTTCATGATCATACTCCCACAACCGCGATACTAATACCGCGATACTGCAATGAAAATATCATTACATAGGTAGCATAGCGCATTTGACAAAGGTTATTTTATGTAACACAAGAATACTGTAATGAAAACTTGAACTTTTCAAATTAAGGTTTGTAACCTGTAAATACAACTAAACTAATAATGTGATAACCATACGCTGCGAAAAAGGGAGTTGCGCTACTTGTGTCACTATGGTATAATATATGTATGTATCTTGTTGTTTACATGAAATTAAATCATGTTAATAGTCTATATTACCTCACATGGCTTTGATTGATTCCACATAACAGTGAAAGTGTTAAATCAATCACTATATATAGTAATTAGAATTCAAGCTGAGGTAGTTATAGACTGTTAATAACGACATTCCTATTATATTTATTTCAGGTAACTACGTGGAGCGCATCTGATAGCGCGAGTCGTCGCTGCTGCGGCGACTGCGTCGCGCAACACTCTGCGCGCGCCGTCGCCGCGTGCGTTAATGGCTACTGACATCCCGTCTTGTGTCTTCTATTTATACTGTGACTCAATGCTGGCCAACGCCAAAGATAGTTCATTCATTAGTTGATTACGCGAAATGTGAAACATTCAATAACGTATTGTAATAGCTAACTAGTGAATTTGCTAACTTTGTGACGCTCTTATATAATTTGGTGCCTAAAAGTCGGCAAAACCAGCTCTCGTTTTGTAGTTTAAGTGTTTGTACATAGACGGAAGCAGCGAGAAATGTCAAGACTCGTGCGTTCTACGGAACTTAAGCTTGGTGCACACTAACTGAAATTCAGCTGCGTAATTTCGGCATGACCGCTATGACAATATGGTGATATCTGTTTAGGGAAAATTGGAACGGGCTATAATTACCCCGCTAAATTTCGGTAAGTGTGGCACAAAATTTAGATTAGTAAGCGCCTGATTGTTGTCAAATACTATTCATAATTGTAAATGTTACTGGGACAATATAATTGTATCAAAACCGTATAGGGTAGATAGTGGAACGATCTAACGATCAAATGGCCTATATGACATTTGTGTATAATTAAGTAATTATACCAAATTATACCATGACATTTTTATAAATTTTGTAAAAAAAAAGAACTTTGTATCGTTAGATTATTGACCTCCGTGCAGCCTTGTCGTATATTTTTCTTCATTAATATTTTAATTACCAAAGTATAATGTTAACTTTTTAACACACGTCATGGACACTAACTAACAGTTAGTTACACTTTTACCCAGTAATTTATCATTTGGGCGTACAGTGTCCAATATTATGTAAATGTCCATTTTAATTTATCCAAAGTTGTCTAAGCGACCCAAAGAGTATGTCTATCGGATAATTGTGTTGTTGTATAATTGTATAAATATTAAAAAAAAATTAATAAAAATAATTATACCTGTAAAATTTTAGTATAGTTATTTATTTAAAATGTAGAAGTGAAGATATGAGCTCGTCTTTTAAAAGTAAAATTTTAAAAGAGTGTAGCCAGCACGCGTTTACTAACCTGTCTTGTTACTAACCTCTTCATTGTTCTATATATCGGCAAAAGTCAAACTTTGAAATCAATCAATAGATATCAAATAATATTTATCAAAGTTTTGACCTTTTGTGACATTGGTTAGATTTTTCAACGTACTAACTCTAGCACTTCTGTATTACAAATTAAAAAATCTAGTTACCGAAGATAACTGTGTTGATTCTGTTGATGTACATGTATACGTACATAACGTACGTATGCCTGCTTGACATGTCTATAAATATTGCTTTTAATTTTTGGAACCAACAGATTTTACAGTTACACAAATAGAGGAGCTTCGGTACAAAAACCCAATCTGCTAAATTTCTATTCTAATTCATAGTCTCATTGAATGGATTTGTCGCATTTTGTTCATATCCATACACGTGAAACGTTATTTGAAGAAAAATTTAGCGGTTACCTTCAGGTTGGATAAATTATTCATAGAAACAAAGAATAACTACCTTTTGGCATCACAAGAAAGAACAAGTTAAAATGAAGACAGGTTTTCGGTCTTTGTTCCGAGGCTACTATTTTGCTATACGAGTATGACGTCAAATCTGCAAGACATTACATAATAATAATTGTAAGTTTTTTATAAAAAAAACCTACCTCAAAAATTTGTGGAAATACATCTATTTGCCAAGTTTCATAGAAATCGATTACCGGAAAGTGCGCGAAACCGGATTTATCCCCTAGTTTGCCACCCTTATAGGTGGAATATTTTCTTCAAATTTAAATGGGACCAATACTGAGGTACCCTATTTTCACCAGAAAAAAAGCAACAAGTAACATACATACAAAAAAGAAATAGAGTCGAATTGAGAACCTCCTCCTTTTTTTGAAGTCGGTTAAAAACAAGCATTTAGTGACGTGTATAGCAGAATTAGCACCGAAACAATTATCTATCATACTTACGTCTGTGTAATACTCAAATATGCCTACCTATATACAATAACTAGTGTAAATAGGGCGAGAAATTATTTACCAACGGTTGACAATACATATTGCTTGCTTAATTTTAAATTAGGTGTTTTATATAATGCGTAAGCAAAGTCTGATTGCAAAGTATGCGACTACTATGTACTAATTTGGTGCCTAACACCTTTAATCAAAAATGGTCTTTGTTATCTAGTCAACAGGTCAGATTTTGTAAGGTATATATATTTTTATATTGCTGTCTAAAAATTATTTCTTTTAATATAATGCTTTTCTATGTTACTAGTTTTATACAGCGTTATACAATATACATTTTGAATATAGGAACGTGTTTATCTTATAAAGTATATTAGTGAAATAATCGAAAGTTTTTTTTGTATAAGGATATCTGAGTTAAGCTGATTTTACCAAAGTTGCATACCTACCCTCGCCCTATGTAAATGCTTACTTCGTGTAGTCACCGTACAGATAAAATGCTTTCATTTTTTCGTATTATTGTTGTATTTACTTTTGTTAATTTATTTTTAAAAGCACAAATGTTTTATTTTGTTGTTGACACCTCAAAGTACGATGTAACATTAACCTGCTATTGTTCAAAATCATCACACCTAATAAAATAATCTTTCTATTTATGTATTGTGTTTTATTGTAGGTTAATCATTTATTAAATAGATTACCCTCGTTTGACGACGTCAGTCGACCAGCTCAGGCGCTAGATGTGCCGTCCCAATAGTATGCGCAAGCGGATCCCAGAACGGCTCTTTATGGCGGCAGGGTATACTGGACTACCGCCCGGGAGTCCCACATAACCGCTCGCTGCTCCTCCGAACCGAACGGTATGCGTAACGCAATTCCCAGTGCAAAAAAATTGATTGCGCTCAGAAAAAGTCGTGAATTAGTCGGTTCTAGTCGCGAAATTTTAGAATTAGTCTTTAAACTAAGATCCAGTTTTTATTTACATTCATTGTTAGTTACTCGCTCAAAAAGCAACGCTCAATAAATTAAAAACGTCAGCTCGTTGCTAGGCAACGATATTTCAAACTAACGCTCGGAGTCATGACTAACAGTTTCTCAGCAATTTACAATTTGTGAAACAGTATAGTGTATTTGAATAATAAATATAAATACAAGTTTTATTATCAATAATGGTTGAGACAGACTGGCGAGAAATACTAAGTTTCTCTCAGAGAGAGCTTGGGAAGGCGGAAAAAGAGAAGTTGTGTGAAAGTCTGTCTTGGATGGAAGCCGATGATATCGAACTCAATTTCACCGATTTGAAAACATTGTTTCGACTGTCTCAAGACATTTTAAAATACAAAAGTGAACAGGTAAGTTCAGTAGTTGTATAAAACACAGGTATATTTTGAGTTAAAGCAATTCGGTAAATCAGTTCACAAGACAATCTAATAATGATCAATACTTTAAACAGATATCAATGACCGGCAATGTGTTCTTAGTAGGTTGCCTGTAAGAGATTGCTACTCAACAATAAGGCAGTGTCCTGTGTTGTCTTAACCATGTTTATTTTTCTGTTTTATTTATGACATACAGGTAAACAATCTGATGGGGCAACTAGAAACAGCACCAAAAAAATCTAAGTCAAAACGCAAGAGTTACATAGGTGAGTTTTTAATCCGCATCCTTGGCGTGGCGTAATAAGGGGGTGTGTAATGTATCATATAAATATATATATAAATGTTATTCACTTAACCCTCAATTGGCATAATTTTGCTTCGTATAAACTCATTTAATACCTATAGCAATTCACTTCATATAACAAACGTTTAATATAAACTTACATTCTATAATTGCATTTTTTATAATGATCACTTACCTACACTAACACTCATTTTTGATATCCATCATAAGTTATAAACCCCATCTAACAAAACGTCAGTTTATTTAAGTTTCATTTCATCTAGAAATAGGATTATTTCCGGAAAACGATATCCCTAATAACAATATTTTATTAATTATAATTTGGCCAGAATACACGTTCGGAAGTGCAATCAAATTCGTTTTTGGTGCTCGCCGACCGCTGCAGCGACACGCTCGCTCCGCTCGTTTGGCTCGTGCTGCTTTTTCATGTTCTAACTTAACCTAACCTACTGAATGTGTGAGCCCCTTCGATGACCCACATTTGTTGAAGACTATTTGGAACTATAATGAAAAATGCCTGGTTATGGATTCTTTTCGAGCTTCTTTGTCTTGCTTGGATCGCGGTCAGATTTGGAATGCCGTCCTACTGCCAACGCTCCGTCTTTTATACTGTTGGCCTGCCGTACCCAGAGGTGAAACGATACGAATAAATACAAGTACTTACTCGATACCCTTCCGATGCCAAGTACTTGTGATATCGATACTTTTTAATCAAGTATTAAGTAGGTACCGGTCAAAAATATTCGTATCGTATACTCGATACTTTCCTTCCGATACCAAACCTTCGGTGAAATCAATGAAAGTACTCGGTAGGTCAATGTCACGCGATGGAAGTGGTCTTCTTTTTTTGGCGGTCCGTGTTGAAGCCAATGACAAGAAATTAATTTATTAATTTAGTTCTATCAGTACGTATACAAGTAATCGATACGAGTAAGTATCGAGCAAGATCCGCCTGCCTCTCTACGGGTTATGAGCCTTCAGCTCGCCATTTTCTTCCGGTGGCGCAGTCAAGGCAATCATTGGATAACAGCAAAGTGTCCTTCAAAAAAAAAAGGCCTGACTCTCATTTACTTACTAAAAATTGTACATAACACAATAAGAACTTATTCTATTAATACTTACAATTATTATGTACAACAGTCAGTTACAATAACAAATACTAATTAGAATCTTATAAAATCACATAACAAAACACATGGGCGCGAACACATTTTCATCCTTAAAGAATGGGAACTGCAACCAAGATTTCACATAAGTAAAGTAGGTACGTTTGTTTTTTTAAAGCACCAAGGTTTCCATCAGTGTGTAACAATAATAATTTTGTTGAAATGAATATTTAGCATTGCAAACTGTAATTAAACCGCATTAAAACTATATATTAAACCCATTGACTTACAAATAAATGGACGACGGGTCTAATACAAAAACCAAGAATAAAATGTCCCAAGTCAACCTATTTAAACGTAGTGACATGTAAAGGAATATGAAAAACCTAAAACGTTGAATTTAAATTTTAATGTCATCGCAGTACTGTCTAATTTTGCTTGCAACAATTGAAAGGCGCAAAAATACACCATATTCAGCTTCTACTGGAAACTTACCAAAATGCACCATATGTAGCTTCTAGTGAAAAATACTTGAACACATGTATAATGGAGTAGCCTTTATTATTTATAAATAAATTTTATATGTAAATGTTGAATTTTATACAATGCCATTCATTACGAGCTAGGGTGTCTGATTTTTTTCTTGACTTTCAAGAATTCTCGTACTCGATTTCTCGAGTTATTCAAGAATTTTTTTAAAAACCTTAAAAAATCAGCTCAATCAACTACAAAACTAAATGTGAACTTTTCGAAAGTTGTTTTGGCCTGGGTGTGCTGAGTTGTGCCCTGAAATAAATTCCATCGTTCTTGGTCCCAGGTTCGATTCCCGGTAGAACCAATTTGGGAAATGAACTTTTGTAAATTGGTTCTGCTCTGGGATTCTGTTGCTCTGATACTCATGGGGAGTATGTACAGAGAGTTCCCTAGTTTCAGACCAGGTGATTGTCTTACAATAGAATACCAAGACCAGAACCATTTAGAAAAGTTAATTTGTTAAATTGATCCTACCGGTATCGAACCCGGGAACTTCTCAGCCAGTGCCCACAGTGCAAACCGTTAGGCTATCAAGATTGTACTATTTGTATTATTATGTATTGTTTGCATGTGAAAGCTACAAATTGCTTAAACTTTAAAAAAAAATCCTATTTAATGTACAGTGTCAGTCTGCTTCAGTTACCTTTTTTGTTTCTTAAGTTGGTATATTTTGTCATTCATCCAACTTTTTATTTTTAATGCATTTTGGCGGTGTAAGATGTTGTCTGATAATACTTGTCACTTTCTCCTTAAGTTTAAGCTATGTTTACTGGATAAATTCCTGTATTCTCTCCTTTCTATGCACACTCACTGATATAATCACATACCAAAGCTTTAATATAAATTTAATAAAATTTAATATAATGCCTAGGCACCAAAAACCAGTTCTTACTAGCAACGTTGGCAAAGCTGTTTTTTTTAATTTTCGTAAGCCTTTGCTGGTTATGTACATATCCGATTGTCTGAAATGAGCCGAGCAAACCAAGTTGTTTATTTTCGGGATAAAATGTTCTTCTCGTCGCGATTCAGCTATTATATTTCTCCATAGTGCGCAAAGTATAGGATCTCGAGGAAAACTGAAATAAATACATTTATTATGCCATGCCATAAGGAATGTACCGGTGTTTCGATTTTTTTTAATTCAAATTAAACGTAAAGCCAAATTTTCATAATTCTGAAAACCGATTCATAATAAAACCGTTATGCTTTAGGGAGTTTTGGATGCTTAATACAAAGAAAAGGCTAAGTTACCTTAGGTTTGTTTTGTAATATTCTAAAAAAAAACGTAAAAAAAAGACTTTCGGGATTATGGAAATTCATGCAAACGTTATTTCGGGCAAATGTATTTTCGGTCTTCTGATTCGTAACCCCAAGCCGCAGAAAGAGTACAACAATATTTGAAAGTATTACTAACATGTATTAAATAATATTTTAATAATAACATTAGCATCAAAGCGACTCTATGAAAGTTTTGCTCTAAATATTTCAAACGCTTGTGTTTGAAACAATTGAAATTGACGTGTTGGGTCTCGTTCAGTCTTTTACGCAAGCTATGAGTCGGAAAGAGTCAGTTAGCTATTTGATTATTTTGATTGCTTTTGTAATTTATATGTACGATTAATTTAAATATAAATTAAATACTACACATACTAGTGCATAAAATAACACTTTTAAATGATAACTATGATAATACAATGTAGTGCTTACTGAAAATATGATATAAGGCGTGTTTTTTTTTTGAGCAATCGGTTTTTTTTTTTTAAATAAAACACAGAAGAAATGACATTTTGATCGGGCAAACGGCTTTATTTCGTAGGAAATTCTTTTTAATTTAGTGTTTGAAAATGATTTCGGACATATGGCCACCGCGGCTACGTTTTAGATATGCCATTCGATTAGTCCAATTTCGCATCACTCTTTCGAGAACTTCTGGGCGTACGGCGAGAATTTCGCGTTCAACGTTGGCTTCCAAATGCTCAATCGTCGCCGGTTTGTCCGCATAGACTTGCGCCTTCACATGGCCCCACAAAAAAAAGTCCAACGGCGTGATATCGCAAGATCTTGGCGGCCAATCGACGGGGCCGTTTTTCGAAATAATCCGATCGCCGAACGTTCCCTTCAATAAGTCCATTGTGTCACCGGCTGTATGGCACGTGGCGCCGTCCTGCTGGAACCACAAGTCGCCCAGGTCGTGCGTGGCCACATTTGGGAAAAACCAGCCTTCCAACATCTCCCTATATCGCGCGCCATTCACCGTAACGTTGGCTCCGGCTTCATTTTTGAAGAAATAAGGACCGATGATGCCTTCTGCATGCAAGCCGCACCAAACTGTGACATTTTGCGGATGCAAAGGCGTCTCCAGAACTTGTTCGGGTTGTTCTGCGCTCCAATACCGCATATTTTGCTTGTTTACGTACCCTTTTAGCCAAAAATGTGCTTCGTCCGAAAAGATGATTTTCCGATGAAAATCTGGGTTATCTCTCAGCTTGGCCAGAGCCCAGTTAGAGAACGTACGGCGTCTCGGATGGTCATGCCACTTCAGCTCCTGGACCAGCTGGATCTTATACGCCTTCAAACCCAAATCTTTACGCAAAATCTTCCACGTAGTGGACGCTGTAAGGCCCAATTCTTGACCGCGGTGCCGAATTGAGACTTTTGGATCTTCGGTGACACTCTCGTTCACAGTTCGTATGGTTTCATCGGTATGCACTGAACGAGCGTAGGAAATACGCGGCACGTCACACAGAGAAAACGTCTCGTCGAACTTTTTCATCAATAAGCGAATATTGGCTTCGGTTGGCCGGTGATGTTGGCCGTAAATTGGTATCAAATCACGGTACGTTTGGCAAATTGATTTGCAATTTTTGATGTAAAATTCCAAAATTTGGCGACATTCTGGGAGCGAAAGGTGATTCATGTTGATAACTTCAATATTTTCTGTGTCAGAAAAAACCAAGATGGCCGCCATCTGTCAATTCCTTCTCTGTCAAATCCCTATCGGAAAATAGATTGCTCAAAAAAAAACACATGTTACCATCCTGTTTTTTCACTTTAGTTGAGTAATTTTTGCAAGGTTTTACTACACAATACGGCATCATTGACAAGCGCGCTATCAGTCGAACAAACGAAGACTAAAGCGTGAATGACGCTCTGTATACGATTTTAACGCCCTATAAGTTCGGTCACTTTTTAGCGCGGACCCGACGTCCATATAATTGTAAGTCAATGATTAAACCACATAAAAATTTATTAATTGACAATATGTGAAAGGATTGTTACAAATTATGAGCTTTATGTATTTTTTTATGAATGTGAATGTTATATCAAACAAGAATTGTATGAAGTTAAATTATGGGAAGTGAAATTTGTCCAAATAAAAATTATATTAAATGAACGCTATATGTCTTGAAATAATTTTATTTAATTTTCGTATAAGTGAGTACCACAGTAAGTAATAAGGCCACATTTGTGTTTAAAAATTCTACGAACCTTACCTTACTTACTTAACTTACCTTTACCTTTCTTAAGCTTAAATAGGAAAGTTATCATATTTCACAAATACGTAATTTTGTTTCAAATAGTTCATATATACGTTCATCTGAAAGATACCTACTACTTTACCTTAAAAAAAGCCAGATTGCGTCATTTGGAAAATCGTTCATCGATTCGCTACCGCTATTAAAATTTCCCTAACCTTTTTCTTAAATTGAAAAGAATTTTGGAAGTTTAAATAGCTATGTAGATCTAATATTATTTAAATATTATAAGTAGTATTATAAATGTCGATAATTTGGTAGGTCTGTTAATTAAATACAACAATCCTAGATCACTAAAATTTGTCACAATAAGTCATATCATTGATCATATAATTTTTCATAATGTAGATTCGCCAACAAGAAGCAGCGACAGCGTATTGGAAACAATAGCCCACCAAGAAGAATTAATAAAAGCTAACAAAGATATACTAGAACAACTATACGCTGATATAGCAGAACTAGAAGGCCGTAAACACAAGTTGGAAGATGACAGATATAACTTAGACAAAGAGAGCGAATCCAGCCGGGACGCTCTTTCAGAAATTAACGCAATAGCCCAACTCGAAAGTGAGCTCACTATGAAGAATAGGCACATCAGGAAACTTCTCGGGGATGTCAAAGTAAGACAAATGAATGTCTTATCATATTTGTATTGTACATCTTTAGCAAGCGATGTATTACTTAAAACAGCATTATATGTACTAGCTGCCACTTTGTACACGTTTAATTTAGATAAACTTATTTAGATGTACAGTCACCTTCCGCAAAGCATTTCATGGAATAGGAAGAAATTTTTAAGACAGGTGTTGTTCCAGTTCATCAATCAGAAATGTACACATGAAAGATGAAAGCAACAACCCTCATTAATTTATTAAACTTCACAGGTGCTAGAAGAAGAAAATACGAAACTAAAAGAAAAGATTACGGTACTGAAAGACAAGTTAAAAGAAGCGACACAGATAATTGAAAACCTAACTGAACAATTATTTACTATCAATAATGAAAATTTACGACTCAAAGGTACTTGAAAATAGTATGCTATTTCTATTTGATTAATTGTCTTCGTCATGTCTCGTTTGTAACTGATATTATCTTTCAATGACATTAAATCTTACAGAGGTCCTAGGTGAATCTGAAAAGATAAAAGCAGAAATGTCTTTACAAATTGAATCACTTAGAAAAGAGGTTTTCGAAAAGGAGAGTTCTAGAGAAAATATCTACGAAGAGATTAAGTCTAAAGTTCAACATTGGAAGGTATAGTTGTATATCTTTCTATCTTTATGTAAGCTTGGAAACACTTTACGCATAAATAGATACCAAGCGCGTTATATTAATACGTTCTTCTTGAACAATAACTATATTTCTATTGTTTTGTAGAACATAGCTCGATCCAAAAAGGCAGAAATAGAAGCATTGTCTGTAGAAAATGCAAGATTGAAAGAAGATCTTATCCATGTGTCCCAGTCATCACCTTCGCCAATAAAGGTTAGTAGTATTGAGGCACGTCAATTTAAATTTAAATCGGTGATAAAATCTTGTATGAAATCTAAATGACTGCCATTGTTTAGGCTAAAACAGGTATTGCTGAAGAATCAAAGATTAAAGAACTACAAGAAAAGCTATTCGAAGCGTCGAATAAAATTTTAGATTCAGCTACATTAATAGAAATCTTAAAAACTGAAAATAAACAACTAAAAGCGACATTAGAGGAAACACCAGACTTTTCTGTTTCTGATGCTAAGAACGAAAGCGATGATGGTAAAGAAAGGGCTTTAATTAATAAACTGAAAAGAAAAGTTAAAACATTAACTGTCTCCGTACAGGGGGCCGAAGAAATGATTGCAATTAGAGAAAAGGAGGTAAGTAAATAATTAAACACTGAGTATGGTTTATCTAATTGACGTGACTGGCAACGTTTTGGTCGTTTATAGCTGACTGAAATAGCATCACAACTACAGCTACTTAAGTCTGATGAAGGAGTCAATGCTTTACTTGAAAGCTTAAAGAACAAAAAGAGAAAGTTAAAATTGAAAGACGAGGGAATTAAATCATTAGTTCAAGAAATTAATAACTTGCATCAAACAGTCGATGATTTGCAACTGGAAAATGAAACGCTAAGGTAAGTTATGACATAGTCTAAGCTTTTTTAATACGTACGAGTTTTGTATTTGCTTATACTGTTTTAGACAAAAAGCTAATGTACCACCAGACCAGAAAATATCAACGACAGGAATTATGAAAAAGATTCGTAACATTGAACAAAATAACTCACAACTAACGAAAGAATTACGTAAAACAGAAAATAAACTTATCAATTCAGAGTTAGAAAACCATAATTTGCGAAATAGAGTATCCACATTAATTAAATATTTACACAAAATGGGATGCAATCAAAACAAAATTGATGAAATTTATAATTGTAACGAGAATGATGATGAAGTGATGCCACAAGATGGTGGAGGAGAGGCTTCGACGTAAGATACTATTAATATTCTATATAGTACATTTTAATCTGGCATTTCATGTTTAACATTAAATTTGATTTTACAGTGTATTATCCAAACAAGAACATCAAAAACTGTCACAAGAAACAGCGGAGTTATCAAAACGCAATACAGAAGTTCAAGCTATAATTGAAGAAAATGAAGGGCTTAGGAAAGGGCTGCAAGAAATATTAGATTTCCTGAAGGATAATAGTACGTAACTGAACAATCATTTGCTTTTTACAATGCAGCTAATTTAAAACAATAATACCTAATATATTTTTCTGTTCCTACAAGGTACTACATCGTCTGGAGTATTATCGTTACAGTGTCCAAGTTTAGATGCAATATTGCGTTCAATGGAAGCTCGACATACTGCTGGTTGGTTTGCTCCCCACATGACAACCGTCATGGAGCTACGAGATGCACTAGGAGGCAAAGATGCTCTACTAGCTGCTTTACATGAAGCTCGTAAAGAAACTTTCGAGATTATGGAAAAATTAACAAAAGAATCACAAAAATCTCAAGAACTAGAACAAAAACTACTTGAAATTGAAACTAAAAGTGAGTCCCAAAAATTAACCGACAACAGTCTTCTAAGTGAAAATATAAGTTTTGGTGAATTTGGTACATGGGTATCTGATAAAGAACAAATCAATATGGATTTCGTAGATCGCAATCAAATTGAAACATTTATAAGTAAAGGAAACTTTGTTTATGAAAAACAACTTAAGCGTAGTTTAACTTATTTTCACGAAAAATTCAAAAAACTTTTCGAAAAAATGGCTTTATTAACTGTACAAGCAGCGGATGATCAAAACAAATGGGCAATACAAGAAGAAAAGTATGTTGCGCAAATAGAGAATTTGAAAGCTCAAATAAATGTTAATGATGAAGAAGATGCAAGTGAAATTTCTCCAGGATTAGTCAGCGTGCCCAATGTAAGCTTCCTATTACGTAAGTGCACTTACTTAGAAGAATCCTACAAATATATTAGAACCTTGAAAGAAAATATGAAAAACGAATACTTGGAAAGTAAACGAGAAGCTTTAATAATGTCTACGGAGTATGAAAATCAGATTCAAAAGTTAATACTGTCCGTTGCAAATCTAACTGATAAATTACGGTCCTCGATACCACTAGAATTATTTTGGAAACAAAACGAAGCACTTAACGAAGTTAATACAAAGTACAGAAAAATTTTAGAAAATAATGTGCACAAAACAAATTATTTTAATAGTCTGCATGATCGTCTGGAATGTGACAAAAGAGATATCGTTAGCAGTTTCCGTCAACACACTCTACTAAAAGATGGTAATATATGAAAACTTTTATGAGTTATTTACCTAAATATTATATTTACGTCATGTTACTTACATAACCTCTGTAAAGTGTCATCTGTTTTAGCAAAAGAAGATGATACCGAATTAAAAACAATGTTGTCAACTATCGAACAAACAGTACTATCTAAGCAATTACAGCAAATATGTAGCGAATTAGGAAAGAAGGACAAAGAAATTGAAAATTTGAAAGAAAACAATTTACATTTCCAAGACTTACAGTCTCAACTAATGTAAGATTGTTTCATATTATTATTTATAATTTTATCTTTCATTTGTATTCTTGTTCTAAAAATCCGTTATGAATTATTACAGAGACAAAACTTTAGCATCAATAACAAAAGAAGACGTTGAACTCATGAAAGAACAATTAGAAAAGTTGGCTGACGAGAACAAAATCTTAAAAGAGCAATGCCAACACGTTGAAAGTCAATTAGACATCGCTCTTGCTCAGGTAAAGTATATGTATTTTGAACTAAATCGTCAAAAGCTAACCTTAATTATCATCGAAATATTAATAACCTAGTTTTTCTTATCCCCAGTTGCAAGATAGTCAACAAAGGCAGATGAGCAACGCCATGGAAGTTAATTTACTAAGACATCAAATTCTTGATCTACAATCCACAGGGGATAACAAAGCTATCGTTGCAAGGTAATTTAAAAGAGAAGAGCCTTGCAAAAGAAGTAAGAAAAAACTTGTCAGGAGCACAGCGAGTGGATGTTCACAGTCTTTGCCTTCTCCAGTGGGAGATAAGTGTATGTATGGTATGTATGGTATGTAGGTATGAAACTTATTAAATGTATTTTTCAGACTAAGTGGCGAAGTGTTGATGGCACATCTCCAAGCTACAGAAAGTCATAAGAAGATAGAAAGGCTAAATTCAGCATTAAATAAAGAGAAACAAATGAGGATCGAAGCTGAAGAAATGCTCACAGCTCGACAAAAAATCTTTGACGTCTACGCCTTCAGATACGAGTCTAAGTTTAGGTACATAAAATAATATTTTTTATAGTTCCCATTATTGTATATGTAACATTGATTAATTCTTACAGATACATGTATGAAGTCATGCGGATTCTTAGACAACAGTACCAAGGAAGTCAACCGGCTATAGCTTTAGAGAGCTTTTTGAACAAAATTGAAGATCTTTCACGCAAAACTCATGATGTAGATGAAAAATTAGACGAAATTGAGGAACTAAGATCAGATTTAATGACGAAACATAGTGTCTTCAACCAAATTTTAGATGTGTCTAAAAATAAATGCTTGGATGGCGAAGATAACTGTTCACATAAATTGCAGAACATGGTGTTGGTAAGTAGTAAATTCAAAATATTTGTAATTATGACACACTAGACTATATAATAACACGAAACTTCTTCCATTAATATTCTAGCAAGGTTCTCATTCAAGAGAATTAGACCACTGTAAAAACAAAATTAAAACCCTCGAGCTTTCAAGAGAAGAACTTTCAAAACGTTGCAATCACTTAGAAAAGACTTTAGTGCTTGTCAATCAAGGATTTGCAATGTCTAAATTCGAAGACAAAATTACTTGGAAAGGATCTAATGGTAATAGCCAAAAAATAGAAGTAAATGATATTAATTCTGATGACGACTCGAATCCTAAACGTAAATATTTTCCTAATAATTAATATTTTATTTAAATTAATATGTTCGTATATTATCTTTCTACCCTTTACACATTTTAGGATATGAAACAGTGACACTACCGAAACCACAACTACTAAAATCATTGAAAAATAACGTAGATATGACGAAAATTCGCAAAGAAGATATAACTGAATCTTTTTTAGGTTCACCAGCAAAAATTGCACGAGATGGGAAACCGGAGGTAGTAAATGTATTTGTTCAAACTATTCAAGATTATAATACAGACGCGCAGAAAACATACAAGGCCATCCAGACAAATGAAGACTCCAATGAAGCAGAAAGAGTTATTAATGTTCTTAGGAAAGAAGTCGAAAAGAAAAATAAAGAATTAGCGGATTCTATGAAACTTGTACAAAAACGTACCGAAGAAATATTAGTTTTGAACTCTGAAAAAATTAACACTGAGTCAACTATTCAAAACATTAAAGATTCAAATCATCAAAAAGACAGAATGAATAAGAAATTACAAAATACAGTGGATGATTTAAGAAAACAAATCGACAATTACAAACACGCGCAAGTTACTGAAAAGTTGAAAACGAAGGAGATGTTTAATGAAGAAAACAGGACTTTACTTGACGCTTTAAAAAAGTTTGAAAGTGACAAGAATGCGATTGAAGCAGAGTATAAGGAATTATTAAATAATGAAAGAAATCAATATGCAAAATGTACCAAAGAGTTGCAAATGAAAATATTAGATTTGGAAAGTCAACTGTTAGACAGGTATTAGAAATGCGCAAAAAATATTCTTGTATAAGGAGGACGTCTGAAAAATTATATGCTATCAATCAAATCTTTACTACGTTATCTTAGTTAATATTAAACGTTTTACGTAATATTACGTCAAAGAAGACAATGTCGTTAATAAACTGTTCGTTACAGGAAAGGAAGTGATACCAACAGCAGCAGTGAAGTGTTTAAAGAAACAATCAGCAAGTATACGTTTAAGATAACTGAACTTGAGGACAAATGCTTTAGATATCAAAGTGACTTGGACGGTTGCAAAACTGAACTGTTAGTATTCTGATAGTGTAAAATGACGTAAATTTTATTAAAAATTGCTTTTAAATAATTACATAATGTATGATTGCTGAATCTGTGTCTTGCAGATTGACATACCAAAGTGAAGTTGATCGCTGGAAAGATTTAGCTAACGAAAGATTAGCTAAAATGGAACATTTGAGTTCTCAACTCGAGGAACGCCATTGTCATGAGGTGAGCATTTAATTTTTTAAGGAATTTTGTTAAAACAATTCTATTATAAACCTAGAAGCAGCGATTTTATTTTGACGTTATTTTTAATCTTTAGGTGGAATCATACAAAGCAGAGAATGAGCACTGGTTGTCCCAATTGAGTGAGACCCAACGCGAACACTTGGAGCTACGGTCGCGTCTCACTGAGCAAAAAGCTGCCTTTGTTAAACAGCTGTCTGATAAGGATGCTCATATTGAGCAATTGCGCTCTGTTGTTCATGGATTGCGGGTATGTGAGCTATATTTTTAGAATTTTAGACATGTCCAATCAACTCAGAATATGATACCATTTTGATAAAATAGAACGAGTCGACGAACGAGAACCGGAACGCACGTCTTTCTCGCTCTTATTGCATGGATGATATTATTGCTCCGCATCATTTATTGTCATTACTCCTTTATGTTACGAATAAATGAAGATATACTAAGTAATCTTCTTTGCCTACCCACTTAAATTAAGACATTTGTATTCCAGACACAAATAATGAGCATGCAAACAATGATCTCGGTAACAGACCCTAGTTTCGACCTTTCTGCGATAGTGGAGGTGGACGAAGCGAGTGATGTATCGCAGCCAGGCTCAGATAGGCTTGAGCTAAAGTTTGACTCCAGTGGAGACTTGAACGATATGCACGACGATGGCCGACTGGGCTCTTCGTCTAGTGTTTGGTAAACTTGTTATTCTAAGTTTTACGTTAAATAATGAAATTATCTTTATTTCACTTAATTTTCATTAAAATTACAATAAACCAACAGACCAGTAGATATATATGAAGTGAATGTACAATCGATACCTTAAGTTACATGACCCCCTAGTCGTCCTTTTGGTTCTGAGAGCCGTCTTACGCATTAAATAGAAAAGGGTGAAGGATTTTCAGCTTTTTGGTTAAAATTTATATTTATGTAATCTAATACATCAAATTGGCTTTAAAAGTTTCATAAAACGCCATTCACCGGCGATGTAATAAGGAAATCATACCAAAGGAAATTTTACAGCTCACAGATTAAAAGTTAAGTTTAACACCTTTCCTCACACTGATCTACTCAGAATCAAATAGATGGTTAGTGGTCAGGAATCTCAGGGCATCGACTGTACATTAAGTGGCCTTACGTTAATTAGCAATCTTTTCCAGGCATATATAAAACCAAAGAATGAATTAATGAACAGCCTTCACAAAAATATATTACATATTCAATAACATGTATTATTATACATAAATACATATCTGTTTCATATGCGTGCTTTCGGAAGTGATATTGTTTAACTTAGTGTAAACATTTCAGGCAAGAACCGGTAATCGAACGTCTGCGTCGCGAGAAGCAGCTTACAATGAAACAGAACGCACTGTTACGCAGGCAGATTAAAGCTCTTGCTGCACGCGAAAGACGCTCCCGCCTCGACGCGCAGAACCTCAAGAACCAAGTGTTTCGCATGTGATTACCTGCCACTTGTTTTACAAACTACAGACTTACAAGCCGTCATGCTGAGGAACTTTCCAAAAATATTTTTCTGTACCATTTCGCGGTTCTATCGTAGCTTATGTCGGGAATAGTGCATATCCGCGAAAGTAGTATTGGTAAAAAGCGCGTATCTGCACCAAACCAAATTTCACATGAGAAGGATTTAACGTTCTTACTTTGGTATTTCAATGGCTACGACTTTCGTTTTTGCACAGTAAGCATTAATTTATGTTGTCTACGGACTGATAATAATAGATTCCCGTAAATCACGCTAATTTAGTTGCCACGACATTTACGCGACTAAATTACCAAAATGAAAACTCACAATCAAATTTATTGCTAGTTACGCGTAATTGCACAATCCCCGACTTTATAATCATTACATAGTGTCACGCCTAATTTTGCCCTTACTCTTTTTTTATAGGCTAAGCTAGCAGTAGACTGCCTTCTAATAAGATTTTGTTATTCAAAATAACGTAATTGGCTGTGTAAACACATGTCTCTTTGTCGCTTCACTGGATCATAACGACGTAATCTTATTGTATTAATTTGCAGCAGCACAACAGGGCACAAAGTGGCGACTGCAGAAACTGCAGCTTTGCATAACAAAATAGCGTCCTTGCAAGCTCAGCTCACCACGGCTCGTAGGGACTCTCATTCCACTGTTGCCTTATGGGACAAATGGAAAAGGTACCAGAAACTTTTCAATGATACATTTTTTTCATGTGGATACTAGGTACCTATACAAAAACGTATTACATCTAAATTTACGTACTCCCGGCGAAACGTTAATCAAACTCAACTCATTACGGCGTTGATTGTTTTCAGCCGTGTATGTACCTGCAGATTTCTTCTAAAATTACTGAACCGTTTAGTAGGAACCTTTAGATTTGACGAATGCTACTAAGTCATTTACTTATTCTTCCATTATCAAGAGCGCAACAGGCTTCGGATCGTTGGCAAGCACGTTACACAGAAAAATGCCAAGAAGTGAAAAAGTTAGAAGCAAATTTGAGCCTTGCCAAGTCCGCCGTCACCAGACTGGAAAAGGAAAAACGTGTGTTACTTGCAAGACTAGCTGATGCTAAAGGTGACATGATTAAATTAATTACTATAGTTTTATTAAAACATAATTTTGCAAATAACACCATGTAACACGATATTAGTTTCTGTTACGTCCCTGCAAAATCTTTGCTTTTGTGATCCGGACAATGAAATGTTGAAATTGGCGTATCATTAAGAAAACGTACAAATTTTCGGGGGTCGGTATCATAATGACTACTTATATGGTTTCTTTAAATTATAGAGAAAAAAAGGGAAACCTACCAGCGCGCGGTAACACGAATTTGGTGCTTGCTGTAATTGGTCAAATAGGCAAACAAGGCAAATACTTTATTACACATGCTACCTACACATGGCGATTGTTTGTCAAATATATCAAATACGCAAATACAAATATGTGACATGCCACCAAGGATTGGTTGACGTGAATGATGCGCCATACGAATTCGCATTCATTACTCAATCTGACTTCTCGAACGAGTATAAATCCCCTCGTAAAAAAGTTATAAGATAGGTGAAACACTGCTTTCCACTATACTATGAACAAAACTGATGTATGTTTGAAATATTCTTTATGGCTCTTAAAATTACAGTGGCAACACAACAATGAAACAGTAACTTAGCATAAAAATAGTAACTTAATGTGCAACAGGTCGCCTTACCACTATGTAGCAATATCTTCCAGGTAATCTTGAGATAGAAATCTATATATATATTTGGCTAATTTCATTTCAGATAAAGAACTAGAATTAATTGAAAAACAAGATGGGGAGTTTTCGGAAAAGATGCGCTCTCCAGTAGCAGATACTGTGGTGTACAATAATGAAAGTCCTGTGTCGGCTAGAGCTTTGTTGGATAGAGTGCAGGCCCAACAGCGAAGGATCGCTGCTTTGGAAGTCGCAGAAAAGGTAGGATAAAGCACGTTGTCTATCAAAGAAAAATGCTATGTTGCCACAACCAATTAAATTTTATTAAATTTTTTAAGCGGTATGAAATGCAGTTCTGCGCTCCACTTTGATAGCTTATGGACTCTGAAGTCCCGTATTGTATTCCCAATCGAACCGCTTCAGCAAACAAACATTTTTAAATTTTTTCGTGTTAGTATGTTCTGCGAAATGTCCGTCAAGTTGTATCGCTATTTTGGTAAGCATTGCATTACGTGAAATTCAAAAAATTAACGGTTGAATAATGACTCATCAAAATCAAAAGTGGAGTTCAGTTGTAATTTATTAATACAAAGATCAAATACTAAGAAAAATTCTGCATACCTTGCGTGCTGAAGGCACTGCAACTGGTTCGAAGCCAGCCGGATCGAAGGATTTTAGAGTTCAATCTTTATATTTTATTATAAGAAATTAGTGGAGTAATTTCACAAAAAAAAATTAATATCATAGTCGTACAGCATCGTGATATTCAATAAAATTCATATTAGTAAAATTCAGTGTTCAAGTTTTCGTATCTTTGCCAACTAACTGTCAAAATTATTTTTTGGAATTTATACTTTGTCATTTACGTAGCGTTAATTTGCAATTTAAAATGTGATGACTTTTATATCATGGCCTGTGTTGCTGTGTATAAAACATATTTTCTATTTACAAGGGTAATGAACACCTCGTGTCTGAATATGAGAAGTCCTTGGCTGAAATAACATCGCTCAAAGGTCAAGTACTCAAATTGGAGTCCACACTTCTGGAGTCACAAATTAAAAGTCCGATAAGTAAAAAATATGATCAAGAACCAGAACTGGAATATTGGAAGAGGTATATTCGTTTACCTTTTATTACTTTATTCATTTTTATTAATAATTATAATTTTACATTTAATTTAAAAGTTTTTGGGATTTAAATCTAGATATACAAAACTAACATTTTTCACTATAATCCTTATAATACAGTTTTGAGGTTTGTGTTGTATAACATAAATTATTTATATTATATTTTTTCCTGATAAAAGACTATTAAATATACCTAAAAATTCCAAATAGCCCCCGGAATCCTAATATCCCAACTATACGGTACGTACAGCCAATGCGCTAAGATACCTGACCACACGTAACAGGTATTTGGTTCTGAGTCAATCAGTGTGAAGTGTTAAATAGACTTAATATTTAACCTGTGAGTCGTGAAATTCATTTTATGTATGACTTCCTTATTGCATCATTAATGCATGACGTTTTAAGAAACTTTTTAATCCAACTTGATCTTTAATTATGCATTACACAAATACAAATTGCAACCGAAAAGCTAGAATTTTTTATAATAGCAAGTAACGGGACGAACACGTCACTCGTGCGCCTGGTGGTAAGCTACACGTCCATAACAGATGCATTGCCACTCAGAGCTTTAAATCACAAAGATCTGAGGAGTACTACCACTGCGCCCTTCACCCTGAGACATAAGTTGACAAGTCCCATGTGCCTGTAATTTCACCAGCACCCTTACCATTCAAAACCTGAACACAGTAATGCTGACCTTACTGCTTGACGGCAGAAATAGGTAAGGTGGCAGTACTACACTGGACGATCTCTTTCACAAGGAGCTCTACTGCTACTAAAATTCCTGCTAAAAAAATCCTTTACACTTTTCTATTGAATGCTTAAGAACCAAAAGGTCAGCTAGGGGGCCAGGTATCTTAGAGCATCGACGGTACATGAACGCGTCGAAGTCCCATTTCGCCATAAACATTTTAAGTTCCTACAAATCACTTATATTTTAGAAAAAGTTTCGTTATGAGTACAATCAGCCCATAGAGTGACGATATAATCAACGCTTACAATAATTCTTATAATATGTGTAATATTTGTATGTCTGTATTCCAGATGATTGCAATCTAACTTTTATAATTTTTTTAGTTACTGCGAAATGCTGAAGGAAGAGAACGTGCAGCTAAACTTGAGAGTGAACTCGATGGAGACGATTCCGATGACCGCCAATCAACACAGGGTCAATGATCTTGAGCAAACTGTGCTCACATTGAGAGGTACGAGAAGTAACATGTATAGACAGGTGTGATCCCAACCGGAAATGGGATTTACAACATTACAAAATAAACATATGACATAAAAAAACTAATAATGTGAAATGTATTTAAAAAATGTAACTTTAAAATATAAATTTGTTATCTACTCGTAGATAACATATCGTGTTCTTAGATTTTCGCGATTGTTACATATAGAAAATAAGAACTATTTTTTCGTTAAATCGCGTTTTTTTTTTTAAACAAACCAACGTTTCGGCCCCTTTACAGGTCCCATGGTCACGGCTAAATGATAGGACCTGTAAAGGGCCCGAAACGTTTGGTTTGTTTGAAAAAACAAATATGCGCGATTTAGATTGGAAAAAATTGTTTCATTTCCTATGTGTAACAATAGCGAAAACCTAAAAACTCGATATGTTGTCTGCACTCTTAAGTTTTATTGTCACAAAAATTCATAATAATAATAATAATCTTTATTTCGCATCGCTATCAGAAGCACAGTCAGCTTTACATAAATTAAATTTCAGCCATTCTTGTTGAACTATGCGCAATTGACTGTTCCTAAGTATGTCTAAATATCACGCGTAAGTTGTTTTTGTTACAGGTTTAGTAAGCAAGTTACAATCTGAACAAAAAGCGACAGGGGCACACAAAAGAGCAGATTCCAGGCCTAATAGTGGACGAAGCAGCAGTATTGGTGACAAGGTGAAAGCCTATTTAAAATCTGAGTAGTTACCTTTTACCATAATATAATAAGACAAGTATGGTAACTCCATACAAACGTAGCAGCGCGATTTGTATGTGTGCGCACACATTGCATAATCTCGCTATGCACTTACGTTGCACAATACTGGTTGTCCCAACGCGCCTTTCATAACTATGCGAATGTGTGCGTCCGTACACAGTGCGCGGCGTTCGGGCACACGTACAAGGCGCGCAGTTACTTGTACGGAGTTATCATACTTCTCTTATTTTACTATGCTTTTATCATGTTGGCGATTAAAAAACAAGACGAACATTAGTTGCAAGAGGGGTTTTCACCCCGGTCGGTCCCGAAAATTTCGATAATCTTTACAATTTCGATACTCGAGACTGTCAATCTCGGGAATATCGCGATCTTTGAGATTTCAGTCAATTGATTAAATTGTATTAAGAAATCATAAATTAACAGTATTTTTTTATTCTGATTGTATGGTCCTGACAACAATGTAGAGTGAAGCTTTTTATAATCTGTGGAGATTGAAGAACGACAGTAATAAAACCAGGTCATCTTCATCTGAAACCAATTATTCTGAAACAACACTAAACGTCGCATCGAGTATATAACCAGAAATAGAGACGAAATGTCATTTAATCTGTTTGAAAACTATTCTGCCATATCATTACTGTGACAACTTCGCTCCGATTGGCTAGCCCGAGTTCAAGACAATTGACGGGTGTCGTCAATGGGTGACGTCAACTGTTTCACTTCAAAACGACCAGTTATCTTGAGCTTTGCTATAATGGACGAAAATTGCAAAATTACATATTCAATATTTAATTACAGATGAAATGTGATTCCGTTTGTTTTGTAATTAGATGTTTTGCTGTTTTTGCCACACCACCGAATAGAACAGCACGGCATTGTTGAGACATTATCTTTATTACAATAAATACAGAATGTTTTTTGGAATATAAGGAGACGTACACACAGGTCAGTAGTTGGCCTGTCTATATTTCAGTGCAAACGAGAGTTGATATTTACAAGACCTGTATCGCTTTTCGTCTCTATTTCTGGTTATATACTATATAAAACGTCGTTTGTTTGTTTCTTACGTATCCTCTATAAAAATAAAAAATAAATCAGAATTTTTTTTTTATTTAATATTTCTTTTATTATATAGTATAAAGTGACAGGACGAACAAGTCGTGCGCCTGATGGTAAGTTACACGCCTCTCCATAACAGTTGCAGTGCCACTCAAAGCTTTAAATCGCAAAGATCTGAGGGGCACTGCCACTGCGCCCGTCACCTTAAGACATAAGTTGACAAGTCCCATGTACCTGTAATTTCACCAGCACCCTTACACTTCAAAACCGGAACGCAGTAATGCTTACATTACTGCTTGGCGGCAGAATTAGGTAAGGTGGCAGTACTTCCGTGGACGAACACTTTCACAAGAAGCTCTACTGCTACTAATGATACGAGTTAATAAAGAACTTGACAAAATACAACGTTTGAACTGCCCAAATACCTAATGAAAACCTACTTTTATAGTCTCGAAAGTCTTGTTTTTCCCGGGATTTTCGAGACCACATCGAATCTTGACTTTTTTCCCGAGACGAGGAAATGCAACGAGATTGAAAGCCCTAGCAAGAGTTGCCGTGAGAAACTACTTAAACATTATCATTTTTTCTTGAAGTAACTTGCCAACACTTGATCTATATATTTCAACTGATGTACTCATTGACTTTTATTTGTAAGTCAATGGATGTACTTTAATTTTTAACATTATATGAGAGTGTTATTGTGTTGCGGTTTATAGGGTGAGTAGAGCCAACACAAGAGCAGGCACAGGCGACTTCAGATGTTATGTCACACAATCGGCAAGGTATTTGCGATAGTAAAGTCCTGTCTGGTGGTCCTAAGGATACTCAGCGTTAGCCTTAGCGTTGCAAATAAATACATTAGACCATTTGCCTGTTTGCCGGTTTGGTAATCATAACATCTTTTGTAATTATTATCGATTATGATATTTACAGAACCGGACGCAATTGGAGTCATATCGCATTGAGATAGCGAATCTGAAGCGCAGTATACAAGACAAGGACTTGTTGTTAGAAAGATCGAAAGAAATGCTCAAAATCGCTGCAGAAAGGGAAGACGAACTGCTCAGAGAGGTAAGAAATCCTTTATTGTATAAATTCGTCCTAATACTAGGCACCGGTCTTTTCTAAGACCGATTTTTCTTACGATTTTGTCTTAGAAGACACATGTGCACATTCTCCTATATGGAAATTTGCACGCAATGTTTACCATGAAAGTACCTAATTGATGATTTGTAGTTTTGATGCTGAAATCGGTACATAGCTGGTATTGAGCAATAATATGTAGGTAAATAGATGTTTTTTTATTTATTGGAGACCTACTTCGCACCTTTTCAACCCTGGTTTACTAAAGCCACATCTGCGAAACAACAATTTTCCAGGAGAGGAACGAAATTAATCAATAACTTTTCTATACTTTATTATGAGCTCTAAAATTTTTCGTGTACGTGTGAGGGGAGGCTGAAAAGTAATCTCTTTGGACTATTTTCAATTCAAAAGTAATATAGGCGCATTTGCTATTTAGGCATACTTTTTTCAAAATTAGTGACACTCTTTTGTTTAATACGTTTCACTTTGAATAGACAAAATGGCGGAAGACAAAAAGCAAAATGTTTACAAATGAGCAACAAATCTTTTAAGCAAAGGAATGTCCCTTGCTAACAAATATAATAAGCGTATTTCCTATTTCTACATTTCATAATGAAAAAAGCCATAATCGTATGTTCTTTCATACATTGGAAGATTACTTTCCAGCCGCCACCCATAATTTGTTTTGTCGTATTATTTTTATAACTTTCATTATGATAAAACCATTTTGACGTATGTTCACATGTGCCTTTATTATACCAAAGGTACGACTTCATCGTCATGAACATTGCGACCCGTTAGTTATCCAGCTTAGAACGTGAGCCAGTAGTAACTTCCAGCGGTTATGCTTCCTATTCATCCAATCTAGGACTGTACCTTACACCAGAATTCATCAAAGTGCAAAATTAAATCGTAACTTTACGCCATCGAGTATATAACCAGAAATGGAGACGAAATGTCATTTAATTTGTTTGAAAACTATTCTGCGAAATCATTACTGTGACAACTGCGCTCCGATTGGCCAGTCCGAATTCGAAACAATTGATGGGTGTCGTCAATAGTTTCACTTCAAATCGACCAGTTTAACTTGAGCTTTGCTATAATGGACAAAAATTGCAAAATTACATTTTTAATATTGAATTACCGATGAAATGTGATTCCGTTTGTTTTGTAATTATATAGATGTTCGCTGTATTTCCCAAACCACCGAATGCAACAACCCCCGTTGTTAGAGATATTATCCTTATTTTTTTTTTTATAAATAACGCACACACTCAACGTAGCCCCGCACTAGGGAAAACCTGTGTCGCGGGTGCCATGGACACACACATAGACAACCACAAATTACACCCAAACTCACGAGAGAAATAATTGTAGGCCACACAACCATTTCTCCCGACCTGGGAATCGAACCTGGGACCTCTGCGTGGCAGTCCGGCATGGTAACTGTTCGGCCACTGAGGCAGTTAAATATGACTTATTACAATAAATACAGAATATTCTTGGAATAAAGTATAAGGAGACGTGTACAAAGCTCAGTTGGTGGCGCTGTACTGCTTCAGTTTTCTAATTTGTGGTTTCAGCGCAAACGAGAGTTGATATTTAAAAGTGTTATAAGGCCCATTTACCTGGTTTGAGTTGCCAGAGATGAATTATTATATATTATTTCGTCTCTATTTCTGGTAAAATTCTCGATGCTTTACGTGTATACTAATTTATTACGCTTGTGACGTATAAATAATTTTAAAAGTTCTTTGCTATCCTGACTGTTGGTCTTTTAACCTTATGAACCTTTTAACAGTCGAAATAATAGTGTACATTATAACGTTCTTGTTTCAGAACTCTTCATTACGACGTCAGCTATATGATCTAACTACGAAACGAGGTTTCATGTCGGCCTAAGCCATTTATCAACAGTAGGTTAAAAAAACATTCTTATAAGCACAATTTTATTTAAAGTGTGTGAGTTATGTGTAAATTAAATTTGATACATTATTAACGTCATTACGTATTTTTTATTTGTATTCGTATTTTAAATCGTTTATACATTGTTTTTAGTACATTTTGTTACAGCTTCATTCATTCATTATATTTTGTGCTATTTAGTACAAAAATATGTGTACAGGCCAACGAAGCAACGAGCTTAGCTTTGATATCTTAATACCGCATAGTTCTATTCACATGAATTTCTCAAATTTTGTCCAACTTTGTAGTGCCCAACTAAACGCCACTACTGTACACTACTCGCCATAATAACGTTCTGAAAAAAATAAAACACGTTCACTTGACAAACCAGTTGAGACTATTCAGTGTTTGCAATCTTAATGGAGTTTCTGTTGTTCCCGTACTACACGACCGGAAATAATCTAGATTTTTACCTAAATTACAAAAAGTGGTAAATTCAAGAGTACAGCTGAAACTACGTCTTTGTTAAGGTAAAGTTATATTGTTTTGTTATTACCTGAACGACAGGTTTGTCACTTTGATATTTCTGCTGGAGATGCCTGGCAAGGGGTGGGCTGAAGAGCATAGGGTCAGGGTGATGTCGTCCTTCGCACTGCCATGGCTGCTGATGCCGCCAGATCAGCGAAACCACGGAAGCCACTACCAACACCCATACGAAACCAAACTAAAATGCATCAAATAGTATTGTTTGTTTACACATTCAAGGGACACATTGTTAACGGATGCGTTGGTTATACATGAAACATATAGAAAGGACGGGTGCGGGTCGGGTCGGGACCGCGGCGGATCGAATTCCATGTATTTATATGGACGACAACACACACGAATGCGGGCGCGAGACGGGTGTGAGACGGACGCACGCGACCGCGTTTGGTGCATTGTCGTCATCGAGTATATAACCAGAAATAGAAACGAAATAAGGGCCATCCATCCCTGGCAACTCATCAGTCAAACAATAAAAATAATCATTTATTTCAGACATGACAAATCCATAGAATTACAATAATGTTAAATTAGAATTAAATAATATATAGGTATAGGTACTTAATTATTAATAATTGCAATCCAATGTCTCAGTATGGACGAGTAGCAACTACGAGCTATAGCAGCTATAATGCTATTAGTACTATCTAGCAGCTCTGTCTAAGAGAAGAAACCTTGGCTTAGAAAGAAGCCCAGCAGCAAACCCGTCCAAACGTGCTGACAAAAACATTTCAGATGCACTACAATATCTTGGCAATTTAAACATAGCTCTAAATACATCGTTATATTGAACGACATGCGTGTGCAAATCTCCTGGCCAACATATTACCACGCATTGCCAATGCCCTCCTTTCTCGCTCAATATCATCATTATCACTAAGATTTTCAGTAACTATATGACCAAGATAACGGAATTTATCCACCCTAACCAACCTACTACCATTCAGACACAAATCAGGTAGAAAAGCTGGTTCTTTTCTGTATTTGAAGACCATAAAAACTGTTTTATTAATATTATAAACCAAGCCATGTAACTTGGCATATTCTTCACAGATGAAAAGCAGTTTCCTCAACCCTCTAATCCTTCCCTAAGCTGGATAAATAACTTAGATTATTAACACTTCGTCCTCCAATATGACAGCCAATATGACTGCTGCTCAGCTCTTCAATTAGTCCGTTAATATAGAGGTTAAACAAGCTGGGAGACCTTAAACCACCCTGTCTAACTCCACAACTTAGTACATACGCATCTGAACATTCGTTTGACCATTTTACAGAGTTACTTTGAATATTTTACCAAAATTTAAACAAGTTAATGTACTCCCTAGATGTCCTCAATCCCTCTAATTTCTTCCACAACAGATTGTAATTAACCAGGTCAAAGGCTTTGAAAAGATCTAAAAAGCATGCGTATACATTTGTTTTCCGTTCAGTGTAGTAAGACTGTGTGTTTTAAACTCAAAATTGCCAACTCCCTTGAGAAACGTGGCCGAAAACCAAACTGGCCATCGTCCAGACTTAAACACATTTGCAGACGCATATTCAGAATACCATCCAAAACCTTTGCTACAGCAATTGTCAATGACATGAGTCTGTAATTTATAGTCGAAAATATGTCACCAGTCCTATTTTTTACAATTGGTACAACCACTGTACGAATCATTTCCGGTGGCACATATCCATGACCAATACACAAGTTAAATAAAATATGCAAAACTCTTGGCAAATGCTTTCCCCCAAAAATTAAATGTTCCACACTTACGGCGCGTGTATACGCTAAGAAATTCGTTGTGTCTGCAACAGAAAAGACGAGAATGGCCTTGTACATGACCAGAATTTTGTCGGATCTAGCCACGAAAATATTTCGTGTCTGTTGCAGACAAGAAAATGATGAGTATGTACACGATACGAATGCTTTCGGGCAGACGTGTGTAGGGTAAAAGTGTCAGTGCACTTCCAGGTAGCTGTCGTTTTACTACCGACGACGGTGTGAAGAAATATGTTGACTACTAATTTAAAAAAATGGTGATTGCAAATTATATGTATACAATAATAAATATTTCTCTCCATGCCCCAAAAGTACGTCGTTACATAAACGTTCGTTTACTGACAATGCGCCCTATGCAATAGTGTCAGAGCGCGTCGCGTCGGGGGTAGACTAGATTTTTTTCTTGTCCGGCGCCGAGGCAGTGCGTACACAGCTCGTGTGTAGAAACGACATGAATTCTTGCATAGACCCCGCGACTTTTCTTAACGTACACACGCGCTCTTAGGCTATAATGGCCTGGTGACTCTATTCATATTTTTTAAAACAAATTTCATATCTTTCAAAGTAATTTCTTCTATCACCTGCCCACATACATTTTCAGTACAAGAAGTGATCTAAAGGTAAAGATTGTGGGTCCACACGGAAATGATATTTAAATAAATTTGTAATATCCTTACTATTACTGAACCCGTGGTATATCTGATATCACTTCTAAATATCAACTCTCGTTTGCGCTGAAATCACAAATTAGAAAGCTGAAATAGTACAGCGCCGACAACTGACTTGTGTATACGTCTTCGTATATTCCAAAAATATTCTGTATTTATTGTAATAAAGATAATATCTCTAACTATGGGAGGCTGTTCCATTCGGTGGTGTGGCAAAAACAGCAAAACATCTAATTACAAAACAAACGGAATCACATTTCATCGGTAATTAAATATTATATTATGTAATTTTTCAATTTTCGTCCATTATCAAGTTAAAGTGGTCGATACGAAGTGAGACAATTGACGACACTCTGCAATTGTTTCGAATTCGGCCGGCCAATCGGAACGCTGTTGTCACCGTAATGATAAGGCAGAATAGTTTTCAAACAAATTAAATGACATTTCGTCTCTATTTCTGGTTATATACTCGATGATTATCGTCCACATAAATACACGGAATCAGATTCGCCGCGGTCGCGACCCTACCCGCGCTCGACCCGCACCCGCTCTCTGTGTGTTTTACGCTTTAATCTTTGTTAGTAGGTTAGCTATTAACTAAATAACGATCAAAAATAACGATTCTGCTTAGATACTTTTAATACTAAATTCATAAGCAGACTGGAGCAGGTTATTCTGGTTTCTGATATGACTACATTAGAGGAGCTGCATAGATAGACCTAGCCGTCATACGATAGATGTGACATATTATCTACTTTACGTTCCTATTTACGTAATTTAATAAAAAACTTACCGTACTGGTCCACATATACGAAATTCTGTACAGGTAGAAATAATTACTGGAATCTGTTATAACTGTTGGTGAAACAGTTACATTATACGCGCAACCAGCTACACTTACAGGCAGTTTTTGCGCTACGTGGCGTGGTCCACCGAAACTCATCCATAATGTCATTGCCATTCCACTTGCCAATCCAATACATACGCCCTGAAAAAATATTAAACCACTAAAACTATAAAAAATCAATATTATAAAACATCACATAGGTTGCTCTGATCCCAAAGTAACTAATGTACTTGTGTTTTGGAAATCGGAAGCAACGACGATATTACAAACAATCGGTACTACAAAAAATAACTGCCTCCATGGCCGCACAGTAACCATGCTGGTCTGCCACTCAGAGGTCCCGGCCTCGATTCCCCGGGCTGGGAAAAATATTTGTATGGCCTACATTGCATTGCATTGGGAGTAATTTGTGGCTGTCTGTGTGTCCATGGTACCCGCGATACAGTGTGACAATATTGAAAAGTTTTCTGCATTGACCTGGCCGGGAATCGAACACGGGACCTCAGAGACGGCAATACCATGAAAACTCAACCGACGAGGTTTACAAGTATAATATCATTGGACGAGGTCGTCAAAACTGTTTTTTTTTATAATATCAAGTGACGGGACGAACACGTCGTGCGCCTGATGGTAAGCTGCACACCATCCATAACAGTTGCAGTGCCACTCAGAGCTTTAAGTCACAAAGATCTGAGGGGCACAGCCACTGCGCCCGTCACCCTGAGACATAAGTTGATAAGTCTCATGTGCCTGTAATTTCTCCAGCACCCTTACCCTTCAAAACCGGAACACAGTAATGCTGACATTACCGCTTGGCGGTAGAAATAGACAAGGTGGCAGTACTTCCCTGGCGACCTCTTTCACAAAGAGCTCTACTGCCACTGATATTATATATTATTATTATTAATATATATTATATATAATATTTTGAAATATAGAATACCACCATGAGACTCAGACATGTTAACTAAACTAACAGATAACTCAAGTGTTTAATCTCATAATTAAGGACCATGGACTGGCTCGAAATAAGTCGAGCCAAATTCGACTTAAATACGTCAGTTATCCGTTAGTTCACTTAATATTTTGAAATATTTAAAATAAATTCCTTGAACAAATATTTACTGCTTCGTTAGCGTAAGTTGTGAACAAGCCGAGAGTGAAAACCCCCAATAATGGACCACCGACTGCTCCGAATATTGTCATTGCTGCCTGCAGTACTCCTCCAAGATACTCGGCGAGGAAGGCCAAAGCTAAAAAGATAAGCCCGTACGTACAGGCGGATAGTTTTGATAGCCATGGTTCGAATTTTGGATGAATTTTACACCACCTGGAGACATACATAGATAAATTTTTATTCACTAAAATGACACATATAGATTACACACAAAAGTAAAAACGTAACATTTTTGTCCTAACTGTGACAGGGCGCTGACTTAGCATATGCGAAAGTTTTCTAAGGCGCTGGTTTGCAGTCTTTTTTTATAATATCGAGTGACGGGACCACCAAGTCGTCTTCTTAAACATGTCCATGAGAACACAAAGTACTATACAAGTTTTTTTACGATACCAAGTGACGGAATAATTAAGTGGTGCGCCTGATGGTAAGCAGTTGCTATGCCACTCAGAGCTTTAAATCGCAGAGATATAAGTTAACAAGTGCCTGTAATTTCACCAGCACCTTTACCCTTAAAAACCTGAACGCAGTAATGCTCACATTACTGCTTGGTGGCAGAAATAGGTAAGGTAGCAGTACTTCCCTAGATTAACACTTTCACAATAAGTTCTACTGCTACTACAGTCAGGACTAATGAAAGGGATTAAGATAATTGTAAGCAAAAATATATAACAACTGTGTGTAAAGTAAAATGTATGCCACAGGAACTTTAAATAAACGGGATATTTTTGAAAATTTTACCTGCCAACGTAATCATGAAGAGTAACAGCAGCCAGTGCGTTACAGGAAGCTGATATAGTGGACAATGATGCACTGAATATTCCAGCCACGAACAGGCCCGCTAGTCCTGGTATAGTCATTGCGTTTGCTACGTAATAGGGCAACAGCTGGTCAGCCTGGGTACACATTTTTAAAAAGAGAAACACATATATATATATATATATATATATATATATATATATATATGTGTTATGTATATATATATATATATATATATATATATACATATATACACAGGGTTAAAGGTTAAGTCGACCTGAATCCTTTAAGGGGTAACAGTTTGCATCATTTCTGACTAATTTCACTATGAAACACCATACCCCAAACTGAACCGTTCTCATGTTATAGGACTTTGAAGTTTTTTTTTTTAAGTCCAATTTTTTTTCTAATGTCCCATTTTTTGTGTCTTGTGCTTGTTATCATTTCGTTTTTGGTATTTTTGTGTAGTACATTAATAGATTTATTACTCAAAATACCAAATTTGCAAGTAATTGTACCAACCGCGCCGTAGTAGACGAGTTTTTGTAAAAAATAAATAAATAACTTGCTATTTTTTAAATTCTTCCTTAGATATTGAAAAAAAAGTCTATGACAATGATACAAACCCAATAATATCCGTCGATGTTTTGAGACAAAAAATTATTGATGCCGCAAACGAAATTAGAAGAAACCTAACCACTGGTGTAGTGAAAAGTGGTTTAAGACACAGAATGTGAGTATGTGTGCGAAATAGAGGTCAACATGTGGAACATTTATTATAGGCTTCCTGTTAAAAGATAAATAAAGTATTTAATTGTTACCATTTGGATTGTTTTCTGACCCAAGTTAAATTTAAAAGTTTACTACTACCTGCCTTTCATCAAACTTTTTGTCTAGGCATTCTAATAATAATCTAGCTTGTGATACCTTTTTAGAAAGCTAAAGAACCGTAGATATTTTTAAGCACATCTGCAGCACAACTGTCTTAGACGTTTTTTCAATATCTAAGAAAGAATAAAAAAAAATAGCAATTAATTTATTTTTTTAAATAATAAATCGTCTACTACGGCGCAGTTGGTACAATTACTTGCAAATTTAGTATT